AACGCCTGCTATAGTTGTCAATCACCATCCATCTTCTGAACTTCTTCATACCCAGGAATGAGACCAATTTTTTTGGAAAGAATCTACCTCTGAATTGTTACGTCAACCCACTCAGTACGATAGGTAAATCGAGAGGACGTTGCCAAGCTAAGAGCAAACACAGCACCCGCCAAGAATATTTGTTTAGCGTGGCATCTCTTATAAGCCATGCATCCCTGTAATCGTCGTCGAGATGCGTCTCGATGTGGAAGTCCCCCAGACGAACAAGGCCGGCAGCAAAGTTCATATCCACTTTCTCGACTACCAAGGCGATACAGTCATCGCAGATAGGTAGTCGCACAAAAAGAAAGTCACCTCGACACCTTTCTCGAGGAGATAATTTGACACTGTGACCCTTCGGTTTCGTGGCGTTGATGAAAGCCTAAATATATATGAAGAACCCTGCGCCTACTGGTTCCGATATTAAAACAAAGGTCCTGATATCCACTATGTTCTGTTTCGTGTATCATAGAAGAAGTCCTTGGCGTAAGCAAATGCTCGCTGCATTGCTCGATATAGGTTTCCCGTGTAGACCACCAATCAACGTTCTCATGCCCACCCCGGGGGAGGATGAAGATCCTGAGATCGTTGAATCGACTTGTCTCTCCAAAAGAACGCGGAGTAATGGGGACTCTTAGTGTGTATAGCCACCGGTTCCGATGGGGCCCGACAGAGCTGATGATGATAGGGGATACTTAGATGCCGAACTCCCAACACGAACTAGGGTAAATCGCTGGAGTCCTCCCAAGGCCGCGCCCAATGCCGGGCCGAAAAGGTAAGGGACGTTGACGTAGCCCTGGTATGCACCTCGTCGACTTTTGTTCTGGTTAGCTTTTATAGGTATACTCAAGCTATGCTCGTGTTCTCTGTTGTTTTCAATGACTGCTCGATTCCAAACAAAAGTAGGTAATACCAAAGGAGGAAACGTACTCGACCGGCACCAAATCACGTATAATAATACTCCCCATGCCTAACGCGCCTCTAGCCCCAAGCCTGCATGCGGTTTGAGCGTGGGTGAAGTTTGCTAAAGTCCCTCGAAAGACGATAAAGCCGTTAGCTATCTCTGCCCTTGTTTGCCCGCTGTGGTATGGCAACACAGATGTAGACACTCTGTGTGAGGGTTTTCTTGACTTCTTGAATATGAGTTGTGACTGAGGATAAGAAATTGACAATCAGTAGGATGTCCTTGTATGACATTGACGGTTCAGATTGTAGTTAATCTGACGTACCTAGAACGAATCTGATAGTGGTTGGGGGCTTTGGAATTATGGAAGATGAATTGTTGAATATGCTTGCTTCTCATGCCCGAAGGGGCGCAGAACAAAAGCAAATCAATAATAAGGTATATACGTGTCTATAGACACTCTGGGGTTCGCCTTGGTATAGTTATTAGGTAGGTAGAGTCAGTAATAAATAGTGGTTGATGATTGATTAAAGTAGAGTAAACAGAGTGGAATTGAGTGGAATAGAGTGGAATAGATGTAGAGGGTTGAAGGTGTCAGTTATATACTGGTTGAAAGGTAAGTGGTTACTTCTGGATGGGGATTTGATACTGTACGTTAGGTAGGAACCTGTATTGTTTTATTTGGTTGGTCTTAACGTTTTGTTAAAGCTACCTTGATGAGGTGGGACTGCTATAGTTCACTTTTCAAGCAAATTAAGTTGGTGCTGATTCTGTCTCGGCTGTACGGACGCTCAAGCACCTGCCTTGCTTAGTTGACACGAAAGCACGACGAAAGCAGGTTTTTAACCTTAGGTACCTAGATAGTTGCTGCCTCATTTCGTCTTGAGTAGGGGCAAGTGCCTTAGCAGTTGGTTGCACTGTGCTGTTTATCTTAGGTACATAGGTACCTATGTATGTACCTAATGTTGCTGGTCTCTACTGCTTTAGGTAGGCGGCCTGTCTCCTGAGGAAGTTACTCCTTTCCTATTTCTTGCTAAGGCAAGCTTCATGCCTAAATTATTACTCTGCAAGGAGCGTTACTGAGCTTTATGGTCTATGATTGCCTACCTAATTAGACAGAGATCCCAAATTCATGTCCGACCTCTGGCAATCCCTCTGGAAAAACCAAGGAACGACCCTAGCGGCCTCAACAAGTTATCACCCTCAGACAGATGGACAGAGCGAGGTACCTACCAATAAGAAACAGAATCCTCTATGAGGTTACAGCAATCCCTAATTTCCGGAGATCAAGCAACCTCAAAAAAGATAGGCAAGATATGTTTATTACAAAAGGAACCGGCCACATCTACTTCCAAGCATGGTTATTATCCGCACCAGCAACCATACCATTAACAATGCAAGCGCAACAATCCCTCCAGCAGACAGCCCACATCAACCAACCCGTCAAGGTAGCTATTACATTCCCTATTCATTTCGCCTTCTCTTCCTTTTCTCTCATGACCCCTTCCCTTACACTTTTCCTTACCTACCTATTCACCACCTCCTGATTCAACCTCTAGGTACAAGAATAGGTACTTACTCATTCTTATATATATCCAGAGACCTTCCTTCTTCCCATTAAATGGTTAGAATTATCCTCTACTTATAGTAGGTACAACTTACAAGACAACACTTTGAACAATTCTTTACATGACAAATATACCACACTCTTCGCTTTTCAACCAAGACAACCAAACAAATATATCGAAAGACTTCTATCAAAAACTTCCCTTGTCCAACAACGCGAACTTGGGATATTTCTTCAAGTAACAAACTTAGGAGGCACGGATCTGATGAATGTCCTCTTGTGAAATCAACCTCATTCTACTCAAAATAATGGTCTACCATTCTGGTAGCTTACTCCGTTGGGCGTCTTATTTCAATACCTAGACTTCTGAATGACTACCAACCACACACCTCATCTCTCAACCATGACGGCACTCCCATTGTCCGGGTGCCGTCCTCGGCGGCCCTTGGAAGGGCAGTATCTACCAACTATTGACAAAGTACGTTTTCTTTTTCTTTTCTTTCTTTCTTTCTTTTTTTTTTTTTTCTTTTGTGAATCCATCACGCACAATAGTTTAAGGAGTAGCTGACTGACTTCACTCAGTTTCTCTCACTCGAAGCGACCGACCTCCCCAGTCAGAATTGATAACCGGTATAGGTATCGGAACTACATACGTCTCTAGCAGAGAAACACTAGCCTCCAAGATTGGTGGTTGGGCCTAAAATGAGATCCAGAACTTAGAATCCACCACTAGTCTAAGCTCGCTATGGACATTCTACGTCTACGACTGTTTTACCTGCTCTCTGATCGTGGTCAGCCATTTCAAACTCTTCCATGGATTGATATATGTTAAGGAGAATATACCTTTACTGAAATGGAGGCGGACATACACCGATACTACAAAATATACAAAAAACCCCTGTCCACATGACGGGACTCTTTTGTGTCCAATTTCCCACCCAATTGTAATGGGTTGGGGAAGCCTAATTCAATATTAGAGGAGAAAGGGTATGGGTGACCTAACAGAGATTGTCTTAACATCAAAGGAGAGACACGATATAACTCTCAGGGGAACCGCTTACTGGACTATCAGCGACCTCACTCCACCCGAGGCACAATACACTTACTGTCACAGTACCGCCTGTGGAGGTCTTTAGAGGTCGAGATAGCAGCCTTAACCCCTCGAGTTGGCATCACTCTACCTTTTGGTAGTGTAGCGGTTTGATAGCTATCTCCCGAGCCCTTACACTTACCTAGCTTCAAGTACCGTCCCAAGGCTGTTTCGATCTTATCTGAAGCCACTACTAAAGGCAGTTGCCTACTGGCCTTGTCACATGATTACATGTGCATACACTTCTCTCATCAGTGGATCATGTATAGTAACCTTTACAACATCAACAATTACACTGATTCTATGACAGTCATCATAATCCCACAGACAAAGGGGTTGGATATCGGCTGAGTCCTTTTCAAAACCACCGGCAAGGTTAATATGTAACGCTAGCACGAAATCTGCGGTCGGATTACATAGGAACGTATTTTTGGTTCAGTATAAGACAAGATCCAGACCTCTTCTTATGCTGGGTCGAAAACGACGGCAGATAGTTAAAAATCCTATTCTATTTTCTATATTTTCGATTTCATAGTTGCGCCCAATACGGGAGTTACATTTTCTCCATTTGGAACGGTACCGTTGCAAAAGCCCCTCTTCTCAATCTTCCCTTTACATTTCCCCATGTTCACATTTACTAAATGATTTTTAGTAGACCTTTAGGCCTAGCCGACAGCACCACCGCTTTTAGAACTAGGTCGTGAATATTCTCCTTGCGCTAGATATCTCATCTGTGGCCGTGATAGTTATTATTTGCGAGGGAAAGGGCCGAGGGCTTCTTTTCCTTTATCATTGTATCGGAGACATGTTGTATCTATAGGCACCTGTACAAATGTGGATGTGTACAACAAGAAAAGAAAGGGGAGGGGACTGGGTCGCGTTGCAGAGTAGTACTGAAGGTCAGGTAGATTTGATATCTCTTGTACAGGGGTTGAATACAAATGCTCGCGATAATATCTTGCAGATATTTCCAAGAACGCTAGGTACTTTGTTACAATATGGTCTGGGCAGACTAATAAGAAAAAGGGGGGAGGATGTAGATACGCTAGCTAGGTGGTGTTGCCCTAGCCTGCCGCCTAGCAAATCTTACTAATGACTCTCTTAGCTTTGTTCATCTAGCCAAGTTCAAAAAGCTTGTGGTTATTCGCAACTCCTTGCTACATACAGGAAGATTTCGAGGAATTAAGCACCTAATGTTGCTAAATAATACGTAACAAATCAGCGACTTTTGACACCGTATCACGTATATACGAACCGAACTAATAAGATTCCTCCTCCTCAAACGGGAGGTAAAAAGTAAAAACGTAAGCCCTAGGTAGGTACATATAACGCGCAACCTGCAATCCACAGAACTAACGGGTAACTAAGTGGGCGCCGTAAGCAAAAAAGAGAAACTTGAACGCCTCAGGCGGGGGTCGAACCCGCAACCTTGGGATTCCTCAGAACCTAGAAGAATATTCTATTTTTCCAGATTTCGTAAAAGTCCCACGCTCTAGCCAATTGAGCTACCAAGGCTGTGTGTACCTAGTGTTGGTGTGTGTGTGAGTGTGGAGTTTCGAAGGTTGAGTAACCGTGGGATTTCATCCCTGCGAAGTGGCTTCATATACCTAGGTAGACGGGTAGGTGGTGAAAATTTGCGAGGGATAATAATTATCGCACTTATAGCCGCAAGGCTGATAAAGTTAACATTTGTTAACTTTTTTAGTCGTAAGGTTATATGAAGAAATGGATAAGTGATATAATTTATTTGAAATGCAGAACGAAAGAATAAACAATTTAGTCTGCAACTGTTTGAGTGCGGGATGTAGGTAGAAAAATATATTACTTGAAATATACGTCAAGATATCAGCATAGCATAGCATAGCATAGCATAGCATAGCATAACTACCTACTTGATTCCTCTAAGCACCAAACAAACACCTTGACCTACCTAAACCTGTCATTTGTTTTTTTAATGTACCTCAAGTTGCCTATTCACTCAGCCCGATACCTAACACCAACCTAATCCAGTCCGACCCAGCCTAATCTAACCGATCCAATAACATACCTAACACTCCTTATACCAATTAACTTTGACCAGTAAAGTATAACAGTAATTATAACAACCCAACCGCATCCCGGGTAGGTAGTTACGTAGACGCATGCGTCAAAGCCTCTTGGCGCCTTTCCGCGCCATCATATCGTAGCGGTCGGGGAACAATATGCCGTTCGCGAGCCTCAGCAGCTCGGCCTCGGCCTGATCCGCGTATCCGCCCTTCTCGTCCCAGGGCAGCAGGCCCATGGACCGGAGGCCTTCTTCTCCGCCCGCGTCGTTCACGTCCTGGACCCCGGGCCGCCCCAGGTACTCGCGCTCGCCGCGGCGCCCGCCGCTCTCGAAGTCGGGCGCCGGGTCGCCGAGGAGGAACGCCTTGCGCTGCCGCGCGAGGTACAGCGCGTTGGTCTGCGTCAGCGGACACGCCGGCACGTACAGCACGCTGGAGTCGGATGCCCCGGCGTGGAGGCCGTCGACGGCGTGGACCGCGTCCGGGTGCCAGAGGACGTAGTCGCCGGGTTCGACGCGCGGGATCGGCACCATTGTCTTGTTTAGTCTTAGATGCGGATGCAGAGCATCGCTGAGTTCCTGGATGCCGCTCCCTGGCACGGCACCCTGGATGATGCTGTTCTGCGCCACGTGCAGGTTCCAGTTATCCTCGTGTAGGAAGTTGGGACCTGACTTGAAGCGTGGGCAGAAGAAAGGCCGGAGAAGGAGGTAAGCGGTTGTGAGTTGGAGCATGGGGCAGGCGAGCAGAGAGCCGCTACCAGGCGGGATCGAGGATAGAGAAAGCCAGCCCTGGAACATTCGAAACATGCTGCATGAACCTGCGCCGTTGTAAAGATCTGAAGTTACACGTAAACGAGTATCGCTGTCCCAGGGGTCATACTCTTCCCACCGGCCTTGGAAAATCTTGGCGTAGGCACCTGCTCGTCCATACCCATCCGACTCCCATCTTTCCACGCTCCCGTTATCCATATGTGGGCCAGATGCAAGGGAAGTATCGCCAGGTTTCCGCATTCTAATGCGGTCCGCGTAAGCCACTGCATGGTTGCTACTCACCAGGGCTTCCTCGTCATTCGAATGCCACACTCTCATGATAAATCTTTGGACTTCAAGCAATCGTGAGTCGGCCCGTGCTCGCACTTGTCCTGGACTCCAAAATAATTCGCAAAGCTGCGGATCATGTTGCGGGATGCCTTTGATGGGCGGGTTATGCCGAAGGTACTCTTGTGTTTCTTCCTTCCATGCCACAGCAACATTAGATGGAACGACTCTTCGTATGATAGCAACGCCTCTCTCCTTTAGTGCGTCCCGAAAAATGGCTACCTTAGCCGGGTCGTGTATATCCAGGTAGTCGATCGATGGTATTATATCGGATCTGGCAGTTTCGATGCGCTCTGCCTCCTTCCTTAACCGACTGAGAAGACGGTAGAACGAATCTGCAACAGCCTTCTCATTACCAGCAATCAGTTTCCGCTTTATCTTAGCGAATCGTTCGGGGAGCGGAATAGGGCCCAAATCTGGTTGGGATAAATCGACTGCCATCGCTCCCTGCTTCCTTTATGTAAAGATGAGTTTGGGTTTGAATATGTAATAGTGTATATATAAATAAACGCTTCTCCTTATAGATCAACGTGGAACTCCTTGCTACATAGTGAAAGTAAAGCCTAAGTTAAGTTTAAGTAGATAGGGATTATTATAGAAGAACCATCTACTTAATACATATAAGAAGAGCAGCGACGACATTCTCGTGGGGGCGGGAAAGCTCCCGTGGGGGACACAATTACTAGCCATCTGTAGTTGGATGGCGGAGTTAAAGAACGGATTTGTTTGGGCAGTCTGGATATGGAGCGGCTATACTAGGCATTGAGAGGCGGAGACCCACGAAGATGGTCTAGAAGGGATCAAGGCAATGCAATCAGACGTTGTCACGTTGTCACGTTGTCTAACGTTTAAACTGCATCTGATATCCTGGGTGCGTTAATCTTCGGCAATGGACTCCGAAATACAGATCTCTTGGCTTAGTACCCAGACCCTGGCACCAATTTACTAGAGCCGATATGGGTCTAGGGCGGCTTGGCCATTGGTCAGCCTAATGCGGCTCCTGAACGACGCTCCCACGGGCCGTTGGACCGATCACACGCTGAGTAGATTCGCTTGTCAACAAGACAGAAAAGTCTCAACGCAACCCGGATATGCTAGACAGCCTGCCGAGCTCACCGACGTTGTATCCCTGATATGACCGAAGATTACACGGAAGCGTATGCAATCGTGTAAATTAAGATGCATTTTCCGGCGTCATAGATCGTGTTGGTGTGGCGGTTTGAGAATGGTTGAGGATTTTTAGCGGTCCCATTGAGCACATTAAGGACCCAACCTAGCTTTCAGAAGCTTTACCTCGTTTTGATCGGCGAACCTGCGTCTGTTGATCCGTAGCGTCGTTGGGGATATTACTCTTTCTCTTTGCCGGTTTCCTCGACGGACCTACCTGCGCAGGTTGGACGTCGGACGGGGAAGCAGCCTCTGCATTCCCGGACGTCGCATTTGATGCTCCCTCATTTATCAATACGTAAGCCACCTTCTCAACGTCAACTGCATCGACTCCCAACCTCTTGGTCAGTTCCTGACTTGCAGTACTTAGCTCCTGATACTCTTTGATATTGTATTTGATGGGAGACTTCTGTCCGTTACAACACAACCAATAGAATGCTTCGTCCGAGAAGAAGATGACGCCGTGGGGGTCATGCACAGACAGCAAAAGGGATGCTGTGGCGGGACCGATTCCTTTCAACTTAGTGATGGTGCTTAACGCTTTAGATACGTCTAAACTATCACGGTACACGTCTATCGCTTCTCGAATAGTACTCTCGACAAACACGTCGTCATTTGACGATACGAGTTTCATGAGAGTAGGACGAAACTTCCCATGGCGCCTGGGCTGAGTTAGAGCCGGGACAGTCCGAGTATGGGATATACCGGAAGACGACATTCATTCTAACAAACCAAATCAGACTTAACTTACAGCTTCCAATCAACTAGAGTTTTAACGTCGTTCAGCGTCATCGACTGTTTCGACTCTTCGAGACGGTACGTATTGACGGCATCATGGTATCGGAACCTATCCAACTCCAATAGAGTCTTCTGGTTAGGCTTGGCTGCTTTCTGCAATCAGCCCCATGAGGAATATGTATGTGACTATTTCGGACACCTACTTATCTTGGTTGATGATATTGACTCAATCAAAGACTCGTATCTGCCTAATAATTTCCCGAATTGCCCGAGCGATATGTTCTTTGGAAGTAGATTCTGATTCAGCATCTTCACTGTTGTGTTGGATGGTTTCACCAAAAAGCAAACGAGATTGATGACTGGTGGCACAACTGTGCCCGAGGACTTGAGTCATATACCTAGGTACCTAAGGTATACCTAAGCTAATCGATATTTCTAATAAAAAAGACTCAGCATGATGATATATCTCAATTGACAGAGTTGTATAGTTTCGCCTAAGATAATCAGGTGGTAATAATTGATGAATAGTAGTGGTTTCAGAACAATTCTGTACTAAACCCCCCTAATCACTTAAGCATGTATGTTATGTAATCCCTCCTGACAGCCTGACGAAGTGGTCCGTGTTACAGTATTAGTCGAAAACGTTCCAGAACCTTAGCAATAAAGGCCCACAGCCCCGAAATAGAATTTAGGCCTTACCTTAGCGCGAGACCCCTGCGCCTCGCTGCATCGGTCTCTTCAAAAAGCAAAATCTATTTCTTTCCAAATCCATTCCGAACCCCAATTTTTTTTCTTCCCATTTTCGCAACACCTAACCGCCATCCCGATCATTATACCGTAGTCGCCAGTTGAAGAGGGCCTCTTGCATACTCTCAACTCTCTACCTTCCTTTTTTTTTCTTATTTCCTATTAGCAAAATGGGTAACGTAAGTGATATCCGCGTTCTAATGCTTCTTGTCCGGTGAAAGGAGAGGAAACCAGCCTTAACGCCGGCCGACTCCGAAAAAAAAAAAAAAAAAAAAAGACAGCAAAATATTAATTCTCGCAATCTAGGGGGCCAAGGCTGCGCAGAAGCGCGAGCGCAATGCGAAGGACACCAAGGTTGCCAAATCGCAGCTCAAGTCGGTAAGTTTCAATCTGACAATCTTCATTACTTCCAACCAAGGTCATCTCCACTGACTTACATGGGATTGTCTAGAATGTCAAGGCTATGGATATCCAGTGCCAGATCTGCAAGTCGACCTTCCTGAAGACCACCCGCGCACCTCAGTACGTATCCTTTATTTACGGGATCGAACCTACCAGTGTCCGATTAGTATTCTCTGGCTAACCATACTCTGTTACAGGCTCACCGAGCACGCCGTTAACAAGCACAACAAGTCTATGGCCGAGTGCTTCCCCGGCCACGAGGCTCCCCCTGCCAAATAAATAAAAAGGATCAACCCGTATCCGTACGGAATGATCGAATAGA